AGAAAGGGGTGAACCCCTTCACAACTAGCTTTAGCATGGGTCCATCATCAAGGAACCGATGTGTGTCCCATACCTGGTACCACAAAATTCGAGAATCTTACTAAAAACATTGAAGCGTTGTCTGTAAAACTGACGAAGGAAGACATGGCTGAACTCGAATCTATTGCTTCAGCTGATGCAGTCAAGGGTGATAGATATGGTCCTGGTTTTGGTACGTGGGAGCATTCAGACACTCCCCCTTTGTCAACTTGGAAAGCTGCTTGAAGACAATCTGTATGCTAAAATTACCTTACTGAAATGGAGAGAAGATTGAAATAAAATTGGCATTACAACATGTACTGAGCAAGCAATTTCCATTACTAGAAATTGTTTGCCTCTGTAAATGGCAATCTACTATAATTGTATTGAGATTTGGTTTTCAAACTACAGTCATCTGGATTGCAGATTAAAAGTGTCGTACTTTCTTTGCAAGTGTTGTACCTACAGTTGGCAGGATTAAGTTACTATGGCATTTATCCATGTGTGTGTGTTTTTTACATTGATTCGTGGGAATGCTGTCAATTTAATTTCTATTTGCTGAGAAGGTAAAACATTTATATTAACAGCCTTATGAGTGCTTCCAGGACACTATAATTGAACCTCAGAGAGGAGGGACAAGGTCACCATATTAAATATGATGGAAGAGGACCGGCTCTTGATTTCATGTATTACTTGTTTATTTTTATTGCCTTTTAATTCTCGTAGGCGCCCATGTTTTAACATATGAATGTTTTGTAATGTCCTTGTGTTTGCTGTCAAATGTGGGCTTTCAAGGATGAGATGTCATAGTCTAACATTGTAAACAGAACATGTACTAGAAGAAAGAAATTCCCCAATTTCCAGTTTTCAAGTCAAAATTCAAACAAAAATCGTGAACCAATAATACAAATTATCTTCTCAATATCTAGTAGAAATAGAAGAAACAAATATACCACCAAATACACACACTTTCTTAATCCATTGTAAATATACTACCAAATAGCATCAAGTATCCAGTAGAATAACATTAAATTCCTTTTGTGGCTCTTTGTGCGGCACCTCAACAAGCGAGAATGATATAGTTTAAAAAATGAATGAATCTGATTGATTAGGGTACTTGGTACTTGTTGGGCAGGATCATTGAATAAGAGTTCATACATTGCCAAAAAAAAAAAAAAAAAAAGATCAATTCCAAAATCATATATCCATGGTTTCGATTCGAAACCAAGAACTGTACGGGACTGGTTCGATTCTCGTTTTCTAATTTTTTTGGAATTGGACCCAAACCTATGGTTCCAATTCGAGATATTCGATCCTGATTAAAATGTCCAAACTAATTTGCACCAATTCCCCACATTTTATTGAGTAAAATTAGGTTTTTACAATATCGATGAGATTAGAAAAAATTGGTATGAGCTGAGTAATCCAAAATCTCTAAAGTCTCTCAATTTTCGAGTCCGCCTTAGGGAGAAAAATGACCTCTTTCATCTATGAAGCTCCAGCACTAAATAGCCTCGGTCTCTTCAAGTTACAATACTTGATGTGGAGGAGGGTGGTGCCTGGGGTGTAATGATGACCTAGGAATGATCTCTGACCCTAGACTGTCTTGTCAAAGGGCTATGATTTATCAATTAGAGTGGTGGTGACTCAAGTTCGGAGACAAGTTGTTTAAGCCCCCGTTTGACACCCATTATTTTCCCATTCTCTTTCTCATTTTTTTCTCTTTCTTCATTTCAACCACACATTCTATCAATAAAATAATATTACACATAAACCCAAAAATTTTTCTTATTTTTCAACCACACATTCTTCCCATCAATCACTATTCCAAAATT